TCAGTTATAATACATTACATGTGTATATACATTATTACAATTTACAAATAAGTTCTTAAAGTTATTTTTCTTAAAACAGAACCATAGAAAATGATTCTCTTTTCTAGTTACAAACTTTGAACTTGTTTGCCATAGGTTGCTAAGCCTTATCAAGTGTAGGGTGTGAAATGAAATAAATTTTTTTAGGTTTTATATGCATATCTTAAATTACCATATCAATACCATAGAATTCCACTATAATTTTACAAGCTTAGTTAATAAGCTGTATTTGGGTCTAAAAAAATATGGGTGGGCGGGGCTACTGTGTGTGGTTCAGTGCATGAGTGATATCTCAGGAAATAGAAGAGATAGGAGGTTCTTATTTTATATTCTAGTTTGTCAATATCTGTAATTTGAGTTCCTAATTCATAAGAAACTATAGACTGTGTATTTGGACATCACAAACATCTAATTTGAACCAATGCAGCATTCAACATACTTAGTGCTAAAACTTATACCTAAATTAACAGTCTAATAAAGGTAAGCTGTTGGCTGTCTGTTCTTCAGCTGTAAATCTAATATTGTTATGTTGATTGTTTGACATTTTTGAATATTGTGTTTATTCTTAAACTAAACTTATCTGAACTATCAACATAACAGTATTAGATTTACAGTTGAAGAACAAACAGCTAATAGCTTACCTTTCTTAGATTGTTAACTTAGGTAGAAGTTTTAACACTAAGTGCTATCATAAGCCAAATTTTACAGGACAATATCTTCATTTTGATAGTTTTTTTACCTTTTGAATATAAAAAGAACCTAATTTATAATTTAATTCATTAGGTTTATAACACAGCTTTTTTTTTCTCATTCTATGAAGAAATACAAAACATAAAGGTTGTTTTACAAAAAAAAAGTTTTCCTGTGCAATTAGTTGATAGTGTTATCAGGAATTATTTACATTCCAAAAATTAGTAAAGAGATTGGAAACAGAGAAATAGTTTATTGCATTCTACCATTTACTGTTAATCATTCTGTAGAATTAAGGAAAAAAATTAAATCTCTTTTGAATAATAAAATTTACCCACATATTAAGTTTAGAATTGTCTTTAAACGGATGCTTCATTTAGTTTTTATTTTGAATTTAAAGACAGGATTCCTATAATAACACATCACTTTACTTCATATATATAAATTTACATGTCCAAGGTGTAACCTTGGCTCTGTGGGCTGTACAATACATTGTTTGAGCTCATGTATTAAAGAGCATGCACAAAACACAACATATAATCAGTCATCCATCCTTCACCACTGTTTACAGAACTGTGACACAAATGTCACTTTAAACACTTTAACATCATGGGTAACACTGCACTAAAGAAAATTTGTGGATACACAAGATGTGTTTTGAAAATGTAAGAAAAACAAACGTGCATTAAAAATATATCAGCTCAATAAAAAAAAAGTACAAAACATCCAGTGAAAGGTTTCTTGATCTTATACTTTTGCAGAAATTTAAGATTTTTTGGAGTATATTTTATTTCACATCTGCAGGCATCAACATTACACAAATCTTAGTAGGGGGGTAGTTGTGCTTAAAGATCATTACTGCTAACGTTTAGAATTTCTATGCTGATGACTGATAATTAAGGATAAATTTACATGCAGTATAAGCCTGTGTAATAAAAACACAAGGTATCCTTATTTTGTTCATTATGGTGATCTTTTCTAAAATGTATAGGGGAAGATGGATCCTTTCTTGTGTTTGCCTCAACCCTAATCTCTATATATTTTATGTATGTTTATAAATTGAACAGTGTAGTCTATTGGTTTTGTACTTGTAATTGGAAATTTATGGGTTTGAAGCTTATTATGCATAGTTGTTCTGTCCCTGTGAAGAGTCTTTACTTAAAATAGTTTCTGTCTACCTAACTGAAAATAGGTACCAACTATGAACTGTCTTCCTTTCCAAGAGAATATGAAAACATCGTCATCTGTTTGTGCTACTGGAGATCAGAGTTAAACATTGAACCTATGTGCTAAGACATGTAATTTGTTTTTTAACTGAACCTAATATTTATAACTAGATATCCTATTAATTATCTTATCAAATATACTATAACTGCAACCAGATACTTTTTTCACTAGAACCATATATTGTTTTGACTGAAGTAAATGAATCAGCTATAGAATTTATATGACAGCAAGATACCAAGAAATAATTTTAAAATAGACAAATGCTTGTAAATAGTTGACCCTCTCCTCCATCAAGAAAACTTAACTGGATCATGGTTCTTGTAAAGAATATATTACTACTTTCACTGCATGTTTAAGTGTCAGTCATTTTTTTTTTATTGTTTTAAAGATGTTACTCTTTGATTTATCAAATCCTGAAGGTTCTCTGTTGGAATTCCTTTTCAATTAACATATAAAATTGAATAACATCCCACAAGATTGTACTTTCTGTTTGCTTGTGATCCAGGTGTTGAATGAAGCTGTTGGTGGACTGATGTGGCATACAATAACCTTGTCGAAAGAAGATCTAGAAAAATTTAAGGCTCTTCGAATTATTGTTCGAATTGGCTCTGGTGTTGACAACATTGATGTGAAAGCAGCAGGAGATTTGGGTAAAAACAAAGCATATATTCTTGATGTGTTGTTTTATTTTATCATTATTGTATATATAGATAAGGTTAAGAGTGCTGCTTATTTATGTGTTTGATAACAGGATGACTAGAGATTTCTCTGTAATGATTAATTTACAGAAAAGTGGTAGTTTTAAAATTTAATAATTATGATTTAATATCAGTAGAGAAAAAGCAAATAACAGTTGTGGACAAGTGTCGGACCTGAAAGCCTATTATTATCAGGCCCAATAGATTATGTCATACAGGTCCTGTCGGTTCTTCTAATTTCAATATTCCTGAACTGCTGCAATATTGCAATGTATTTTAAGTGCCATAAATTAAAAATAGTTATTCTTACATACAGTTCAGCCCCATTTATCCGGTCAGCTGTGGGTATAAGCAATTAACGGCCAAATGATGGGGTGTCCGTATTACTGGGTGTCATTGTATGGGGTCAACTCTGGGAGCAGACTGAGGCCTCAAAGGCACAGTACAAACCCCTACAACTTGCCATAATACTCATCTTTCTATGTTCCTGTTTGATACAGAATGTTGTAATAACATTTGGCTGAGAAAGCAGAGCTCTATTTATTGTAAAGTAGAGTGAAAGATGACAAAATTTGAAATGCATTTGCAAATTTTCGCCTTTGAACAAATCTTTTGTTCACAAGAAGACCAAAGAGAGACCGAACTAGAAGTGTTACAAATGACAAAGTTTAAAGGAGTGTGAAAACATACCATTTGTTTGATCATGTATGTATGAGCATGAGGTGTGAAGCATCAGGTAGGATTAGCATACCATTAATAGGGAACATTAAAGCTCACCTGGTTTGTAACACCTACAAGACATGGCTGCTATCAATCAGTGTATGGTAGTGGCCTCACTTTGATTGGCGGGTCTCAATTGGGCAGCATCAGGTGAGAGTTGGCCTGGGTGGATGCAATACTGAGTTCAAAGAGACAGATTGGGAGTGGAAAACAAGTGACCACAAACCAAGTTGACCTCAGTACGAGTGCCCATAATAGCAGATGTTTTACAAATATGAAATAGAAGGAAATATTTGGGACTGAGCCAAAATTGTTGTAATTAAGGGTTGACCGGTATGTGGATCTGGACTGTATATTTAAAATTTTCAAATTGTAAATAAGAAATCACTTTTAATTTGTAAGAGAAGAACAGTGCCCAAATGCTGAATATTAGGTCTTTTTTGTACCTAAAAGTGTCAAATTGTTCTTACATGCTCAATTTTTGGCCAGTGTTAGAAAACTAAGAATGATTTTCATATGCATGATATTGAGCCCTTGTTAGAAACTAAGAGTGATCTAGCATGCTGGATGTTAGATTCACATTAATCAATAGTGTTGTCTCACCTGTAGTGTCCTGTATCATTATGTGATTTGAGACAGCTGAAGCAAACTCAAATGAAACATTTAAATTGCATTATTGACAGTCAAATTTAACAATACAGTCTTTAGCATGTAACTTTGTATATACCAGAAATTAACATTACAATGTAAGAAAGAAGCTGAAATGAACATTTTATTAATTATGTTACAAATACTTGATAACCTTGTATTTTATAACAAGTTAACATACATTTAATTTTCATATCAATATTTAAAAGGAATGTATTGTATATTAATGTTATACCAGCATGGAAAATTTAGTACTTTTAAAAACTGTTGTTACGAATTTGACTAATTTGAACAGCAACCTTCTGTAATTATTTTCTAACATACTACTAATTTAAAAAATACATTGACCATCTACATAGATCATTTACAGATTGAGTAAACTTTAGTGAGCCATTATACTGAGTCCTGAGAAAGCTCTGTGCTTTAAAAATTTTTTTATTCTGAAATGGTGTTATAAATGTTTTGATAGTTTTAACTCTTTAAACACAGGCCTGTGCATGTTATGACATTTTATAGTTTCACAGAGTCGCATTTATAATTTAATTAAACAACTTTATTATCTATGCATGTAAATGAAATTAGTATCAGAGCATAGTTTTTAAGTTAAATTTTTATATTGTCACTTTTTAGATGGGTTTATGTAAAATACACATGCTAGAGACAACAATATATATGTGAAATTATGCATGCTATAATAAGATTTTATTAATGTACTTTCACGAAAATTGGTAAGATTTTATTAAAGATTACAAGTATTTTGTACACAAATAATAAGATTTTTTAATTATTCCTGCTAAAGATTTGTTTCTGAATTTATTTTAGTCAGTTTCACTCAGACTCTGACTACTTACATTTTATTTTTCATTTTCTTTACTATATGAATAACTGTAGCTATTATCAACAGCTATTATCATTATTATTAATTTTTTAAATTAAGAAAAAAAAATGTGTGTATAACTTCTAATTATTCATTGTATAATCATAAAATATTTTCTTTTAGTTATATTCATTATTTCATCTCTTTACCTTTTCATATGTAGTTTATTTTTGATGCTATATTTTTCTTGCCTGTCTTTTAGTGTTTATTATTCTTTTCAACACACCTCAGTGGGAAGACCCTGACATATCATGTTAGTTTTGGCAGAGATATGTAAGCCTTTGGCTAAACATTTTTACATTCGTGTTGTAAGGGGCCCGGCATGGCCAGGTGGTTACGGGGCTCGACTCGCAATCTGAGGGTCGCAGGTTCGAATCCCCGTCACTCCAAACATGCTCGCTCCCTTTCAGCCGTGGGAGCGTTATAATGTGACGGTAAATCCCACTATTCGTTGGTAAAAGAGTAGCCCAAGAGTTGGCGGTGGGTGGTGATGACTAGCTGCCTTCCCTCTAGTCTTACACTGCTAAATTAGGGACGGCTAGCGCAGATAGCCCTTGTGTAGCTTTGCGCGAAATTCAAGCAAACAAACAAAATCGTGTTGTAAGTTAACCCTTGTTAACTGAGGTGAAATTTGAATTATAAAAAAAAAATTACTGAACCTTTCAAATACACATTTCAAAACATAAATAATACATAACTTGCTAAAATATAAAAGTTGGTAAGAAAAAACAGTAAACACTATGGAGGATGAAAAAGCTTCACCATTATTGGAAGGTAGTCATACTTCATAATGAATACTGCCCACCAATTTTAAAATGCCTACTGAGAGCTTTTATGTTAAAATAAGCTATTTCTAGTGGTTATAAACATGTACAATAAAAAAGTACATGTAGTTTGAAAATCTCAAGTCTGACTTATAGAAGACATGGCTTTTGTTCATGGAGTGGCAAAATGTATTTCTTGTGTGAACTTGAACTGAAGGACTTGGAAATAAGTACGTGTGTATAATGTAATAAATGTAGATTGTGTCTAGACATACATGTGATGAATTGTGAATGCTTGTACACCACCTGACAACAAAAGTGAAGTTAAAAGTATTTTTTCATTGGTTTCTTTTGAAATAAAGGAATTGAAACTTAGATAATATAAAACTTTCAATTACAAGCTACTTTATAATGCTAATTTCATTGATTGTCCTTGATAGTAAAGATGAGATTAAATTTTGAATGTAATTCTGTAAAACCCCGAGACATGCATAGAAAGGGACACCCAACAAAGGGTTAGAAAAGTTTTACTTTCAAAAGAAAATATTTAAAAAATTCCTAATCTTCACTTCTTTGTATCACATTGTGTGTCTATGTTCTGAATTCTTCTCTTTTAGCTTGTATAGCTTCAATAGTAATGCACTTACAATGTCTGAGTTATGAAAACACAATCAATACATAAATCAAAGGTACAATATATGGTTTCAATGTCGTAAGATCTCTATCTAATGAGATATCAAATTATCCCAACCAACAACAGAAGCTCCACCCATCAATTCTTAATTTTCAAGGCAGTTTTCAAAACCATGTTACCTTATTTGAAATACATGTTTATAACTAATAGAAAGAGCTTATTTTCAATTTCAAACTTGCTGTGGTCCTTTTGAAAATTTTAGCAATAAATCTTGGACTAGAGATCTTGATTGTATGATGGATGCTCTTAGGATTTAACAATCCTTTTAACCTATATAGATTAGTTAGAAAGACAGTTAAATTATATTTGTTTTTGGACATTCCATTTTAGTGAATTATGTATTACTTATGTTTTAAAATGCAAGTTTGAAAGATATAAATATTTTTTATGTGCATGAAAGAAGTTAGAGAAAATTTTCACCGAGCTTAGCTCATTAGGTAACAAATGCAGAACTTCATGTGCATAGCAGATGAGTATATGGAATTTGCCAATATCTTAAAACTATGATGTGTTGCTTTTCAGGGATGAAAAACTATGTCATACAAGCCTAGCATTAAAAATATTAAATTAAAAAATACAGATTATATGTGAAAAGGTAAATATTTGAAATTATGACAAGATGTGACAACAAATATATATTATTGAAAGAAGAAGGTATGTTCATTTTATTTCATTTCACTATACCATGATGATTCAGCTACAGTTAGGGTAAAATATGAAAACTTTTTATATTCACTTCACAATTTCCAGAAGCTATGTATGTGACATATGAAAAATTTGGTTTGATGAAAGGAATTTTTTTTATTATTAGCATGAAAATCACTTTGCACTCAGATTGACTTAGTAAAGGTTTTGAAAATTCATGGATGTTTTTACTATAAATACTTTATTAGAAATGTTGATTGTTTTGTGTACAACAGACTTGTAATGTACACTGAAAACGTTCCAAGTTTCTTGAAGATACACCTAATAAATTCAGAGTTCTACCATGTAAAGTATTATGACTTTTCAAGAGAGGGTTAATAGACTTTTTTTTTATGTTTGAGCCTATACCTTTAGGAAATGCATTCATTTTGTATAAAACTGAATTATAAATTACATTATAATGCTAATTTCATTAATGTACATTGATAGTAAAGTTGTTTAATTAATGGCTAGCTTTGGTCCTGATAACTTGTGTGATTGGTTTTCTTTAATACTACTTTTTATATTTATGGGCGGAGCTTATAGATTTCATTTTAATTTTATATTATTTTTTGTGGATTGTCATTAAGTACAAAATGAAATTGTGTAAATACAAGGATGTTAATGTTAACAAATATAATGGGAGGAAAAAAACTTTGCACATCATTAAAATAAAGTTTTTCTGGCTGTACTCTAAGTGAAACCATGGTTGTTACTAATGGATCAATTCAGCTTGGAATGTAGCTAATTTAATAAAAAAAGAAATTTATATACTAATTTGTTCTTTTTATAACGATCAACTTTAACTGTAACCATTCTTTTTTATATATATATATATTAGGAATTGCAGTTTGTAGTGTTCCAGGCTATAGTGTAGAGGAAGTGGCTGACACAACATTGTGCCTAATTTTAAACCTCTATCGAAGAACATATTGGTTAGCCAATATGGTTCGAGAAGGAAAGAAATTCCAAGGCCCAGAGCATGTCCGAGAAGCTGCTCAGGGTTGTGCACGGATCCGGGGAGATACACTTGGAATTGTAGGACTTGGTGAGACATTTGTTTATAGGATTAAAGGGGTGGATTAATGATAACATATTTAAGGGGAATCCAGTATACAACCAAAATTATGGTTCAAGATTGCCTTCTGGAAATGATAGTTATTAAGCTTCTGTATTTATAGCCATAGAAACACCTACTAATGAAAACTGCTATATCATTTTGAGTGTGCTAGTTTGTGTTTATGAACATGAGAAAGTTGGTATCATATATAATATTGAAACGATATACAGATCTTTAGCTCATATTGTTTGCAGCATTTTAGAGGAAACTTCTTATGTACATTTTTGTTTATAAAAAACAAAATGTGTGTGTTTCCAGAACATAATTGCTCAAGAAACCTACATGGTAAATTGTTTGATATATTATATGTGCACTCTAGTGATATATGGCTTTTTTTTACAATGCTGTTTTGTTTGAAGAGTTGAAAACAAGACAAATGCTTGTTAATATTGTAATGATACACATGAACAAAGAAAACGATGGTCTTGTGTTCTTCACACTGACTTGTTGAATAAAATTTTCACTTTCTAGAAGTTAAGCATTTGTTAACCTTATCACCACAGGTATCCTTTATTGTACATGACACAAGGTTTTAGTATCTTACATTCAAAATTTTATTAAACTACTTTTTGTTATGTTATACCAATTAGTATAGCATAAAATCTTAGCTAATAATCGATATTTTAATAGAATTTATGTTTTAAGTTCTTAATTCTATAAGGCAATATTTAAAAAAATCCTGAATTTCCTATAGTGTAACACGCATGACACATTTTCTCTAGGTATCTTCTCTATTTTAGCCATCACCCCTCCAAAAAGTGGGAAATTAAACATAAATTACTCACTATAAAATTGTCATTGCTCATACAAACCATAATTTTTATAGCCTTCAATTTTGTTTGGTTACAGAACTATCAAATAGAACATCAGACCACCTGCTACACCGAATAGTAAACCAAGGTTTTCATCTACCAAATGATCTATTCTATTACATTGTGTTCTGAACACAGAATAGTCAATTTCACTTGTAATACAACTTCGGCTCTCATGGGAATCACAATGGCTAGCTTGGATGAATTTGTAAAGGTTCTTTTCACGTAGTTAGAAAGCCAGAAAACTGTGATTGTTAGAGGAAATTGTCTGCGTGTTGCATGTTATTAGTCTATGTTCTTTGGTGCATTATTTAATTAAATAAAAGTTATTTAATGCACTACTACCATTAGTATAGAAAAATAGGGTTAAATGTCATCGATGGTCAACAGCAAAAAAAAAAGATTACTCGGGTAAATGCTTTATTTCTTGTTTTTTATGTTTATTCTTTATTTTCTATTATAAAAGTAACTAAAATGTAAAAATGGATCTCATCTCTGTAGGTTAGTTAAGGGTAGATTAGATAAAATAAATAATAATATAATAAAAATATTTCATGTGGCATGCAAGTGAGCAGCTCAGAGTAGTTTGTGGGTAAGATAATTTGATAGTGTAATGTGAGCTGCACATTCCTCAAGTGATTTACAACTTATAATAGTGAGAATAGTAGTTAGACATTGTTCAAAGGGCAATAAAACATAATTATAAATAGATGTATACTGCTACGAGGTTAAAGCTACTTAGGATAAACAAATGTAATTTCATGTTACATTTGAAGTCATTAGAGAAAGAAAGAAGGGTAATTTAGATTTATTTCAATTTTTTTTTGGTTGGTTACGAGGTCGGTCAAATTGATCAACTCCATATAGAGTTAGGGAAGAGAAAATAACATAAAATATAAAGTTTTACTGAAAATAAACATTTGAAATGTATTTAGGAGGTTTTAGAGATTACATAAATGAAATTTGAGATGAAGAAAAATATTTTTAATTTTAACATGAAAATAACTTAATATATTCAAGGACAAATCTTTTTTTTAAGTTTATTAAAAATACTTCACCAAAAATGTGATTTTTTTGTATGTGAAAGACGTATAATGTTTACTGAAAGACTGACAAATGTTGTGAAGATGTACACACTATATTAAAAGTTGGTAGTATCAAATCTATAAAGACTTTGAATTAGTACAGAGGTCATGTGGTCTGTCAAATTGACTGAGCTTGTGTTGAGAGAGTTAATGAAGAAATAGTGAAGTACCATGGGACATGATTGCATATTGGGTACAATAATGGCCAAATTTTATTAGACAAGGAGCATTAACCTTATGACTACTGGCTACTAATTTTTTTAGTACGTAACATCGCTCTTGTCATATTCTGTTCCAAAAATAAAACTAGTGGATGAAATTGTTTAAAATTTGACAAGAATGTTCCTAAAAATATGTAGTTTCAGAAAAATAAAACATTTAATTTTGAATTTTTTCTACTGCTTCTAATAAAAAGTTGTTATTTAATTTAACTTGTAATGTAATCACCTGCATGTGATTTTTATATGAAGTATAAAAATACTATTTTTTATCATATAGTTTTCACAATTAATTTATATAATCTCTAAAACCTCATAAATGAATACTTATATTTTACTTTCCATTTTCTCTACTATATCATTAACTCTACCTATTATCATCAACATACAGTGCAATGAAGTGTTTGAAATTAATGAAAATATGAACATACCTTTCAATTCTTTGTAGAAATCTACTAGAATAGTCATATCTTTCTTACATGTGTAATTTCACATCTTTATCTTTTCACTTATAGATTATTTTCCTTTCAAATTCTTCGTTTATTATCATTCTTGCCCATAGTCAACTGATGCCCACGGGTCTTTATGAAGGTATTTTGGGAGACTCCCTGCAGAGACGCGTTGACAAAAAAAAAGATGGCACTTATACATGCCATCTTGTTTATAACATTTCACAATCCAGGAGACAAATTCAACAAATATGATTTTTAAAACACACATAATAAATAATTAACTAAAATATAAAAGTAAGACCTAAATACAATTTAATTCTCTCTAAGTATAGCATATTTAGGTAACAAACCACTGTAAGTGCTATAATCGATCAAGCTGACAACAATATGAATGGAAGTTACATGTACACTGTGCACCAATTTCAAATTAACTATTGGTAGGGTATAGAGTAAACTGAGCTCTTTCTAACAACTATATTCAGTTGTGTCAACTAACTACATGTATGGTGTAGATCTCAAGGCAAAGTATAGAAGGTGTATGTGGCAACCATCAAGGGTTGTAAAATTTATTTCTCTTTCTCAGTGAATACAGCTGTAGGATTTGGATATCACATACTTAGTGTCTATATACTCATGTACATTGCCAGCTTATGTTACTAAGAGTGAACCACTGCTAAAGTCGAGATTTTTCAAAGCTCTTGAATCACATGACACGAAAACTGTGGTTTAGGTATTTTTTTGAAAGGTTTCCTTTGAAACAAAGTAATTAAAACTTAGATAACATAATCGAATTATAACACACATTATAATGTTAATTTTATTGATATATATTAAGAGCAAAGTGGTTTAATTAAATTTTGAATGTAACGCAATACCGTACACAGAAAGGAATTTAAAAATGGTGCTGGGGGCAATAGGGTTAATTACATTATTACAAAAATGGTATGCTACTGCTACTAGCAGATGTTTGCATAACTGTTTGTCTGGGCCTCAGCAGGATGTTTCATTTTAATATAGTTTAATATTTTCAAATTCGATGACGAGGAACCCACTTGGAGACTAATAATGGCTGGAAACGGCTTGAATGGGTAATGAAGAAAAACTTTAATATAAGTTTTTCTTCATTACCCATTCAAGCTGTCTCCAGCCATTAATAGTTTAATATTGTTCCAATGGTGACCCTATAACTAAGCTCTGCAGAGCATGGCGTACATTTTGCGTATAGATCTCCCATCATATCAGAATATACCCAAACAGAGTTTTGTTTATTTTGAGATCCCAAAGACTAGATTCCTATAGCCTGGTCGTTTTCACATCAATTTTTATATTGTTATTCAGTGGAAGATTATGCAGACAATATGTCAAAACGTAGTTCCATTTAAAAGTGATTAAACTGTCATTTCTGATATTAAATGCTTTATTTGGGAAGCTTGACAATACACACACCAGGGACCAAGTATATTTTGTTCAGCGAAGTGATTAACAAAAATAAAACAGTATAGAAATGTTTTTGAAACTCTTATTTTTGAAATAAATAAAGTATGATGCACATACATAAGAGCATAAATACCAGTTTTGTATCTTCCAGGATACTCTTCAGTTTCTGAAATAAGACTTTCTGATAAGACCTACTTTACAATAAAAAAAATTTCCTGCATTTTTTACCTTAAAGCTTTATATATGTTTTAAACTCCTTCTGTATGTTAAACCTAAAATTTTTGCTTCCTTGCATATAGATTCTACAGTTTTTTTCACCTTACTTCTCATATCCTTGTCTGTTATGGCATCTATAAATTGATCATGAATGATCATTTCACATGGAGCATCTTAGTAAGATAAC